AAATGCATAATTCTAATAGCTTGAAACTGGACCATAACTACTCAAGTCATATGGTTTTACCTTTAAAATAACATTTCAACTTCTTCAGTTTCAAGATGAAAAACAACTGCTGATGAATTTCAAATCACGCTTGCTTACTCTTCAATTAAAAAACCTCTGTTTTGTTCCCTGTCTCACTATCAAATTCAGTTCCTTTGCAGGACAGATGTTGCACTTACAATGCTGAACATGTTCAACATTGTGCATTTACTGTATGTAGCTTTCCCACATAAGCTGAAAATTAAAACCGCTTAGATCTAACATTTTAAAGTTTTCAATGCGTGTAAGAAGACATGAACTTTAGAAAACTTGAACTTCATGCAGAAAACACAGTGATCCAATATATCACGCAGCTAAATAAAGGAGACCTCGCATTTTAAAATATCTTTGATATTCTGACAGCATCTTCATAATGATACTTTCTTTTGCAAAGCAGTATGCTATCTCCAAAGCTGTATAAGAACTAAATATTATTAGAGATGGGAAAGGGCTATTAGATAATCTGTCCATCTCTGATCTAACTGAAAATGACAGTGATTCTCTACTTCGATTCGACAGAGACGTTTGTAAAAAATGTGCTTTTCTCCTAACTCTGCAAATTTCAGTGCTGAGGATTCAATAAGCCAAACAGCTTACTCACTTCATCAGTCTCCACCTCCTATGCAGCATAGTGAGTTATTAAATATAGCTGTTTCAGGCCTGCTTTTCCATCTCCTTGTTCCTCTTTTCAAGTACAGGAAAGACGAATCCTCATGAACACACAACACATCAAGCTTCACAGAATTGGTCTTTCACTCCCCAGCTGCAGACCATTTGCATCTCACCTCTTTGCAAGGCAGTACTGTAGCACCTCTCCTGCTTGGGATTGTGTATCATGCAGGACAGAAGCTGTTGTGCATTTTTCTGGTGTTTTCCAGTAGACTTACAACTCAGAAGCCATGTACAAAATATATTCAGTGCAACCCACTGTGGTACGAACATGCATCCGTGATGGATGTCTGATCAGACAATGCATAGAGTCTTATGTGATAGCAGTTGCAAGAGGTCTGCAGAACACTTGGTGGACACTGGCAGATTGAAGATCCTTTTTTTCATGAAACAACGCTCTGCTTCTCCTCTGCTTTCAAGGGGAAGAATTGTTTCTTCTCTTCCTTATATTCCTTAAAATTTCTTGTAATGTTTGCTATAACAGGTTTTCAATTTAAGTACCAATATAACAAAATGTCTGGAGGTAAATCAGTCCAAGTATTCAGAAGATGACTCTCAATATGATTCACATGGCTGTGAGCAAAGAGGTCTGTCTGGCCTTCTGTACTGGAGTGATAACAGATATTGGATGCAGTGTGTACTCAGATAAAGTTAACGTCAGTGACATCTGGTAGATGACACAGAGGAGCAAACTCCTGTCATCTGTTTTTTAACACTGTGTGCCCAAACCATTATGTGTCAGACTTGGTAAAAGTGAATAATCTCTCAGTATCTACCACTCTTCGCTCCCATGCTCTCAGTCTCATGAGACTGAAGGACTACTAGATAAATCACCTCCATATATTCACAAGGACAGCAGAGATAAAGGCAGCCGGAGAAAAACAATTCAAGGTATGCAGCTCATTAGCAGTGCCCTCCCCAGTATTTAGCAGTCATTGTACAGACTTGTACATTCCCAAAGTCCTCTTACAGTCATAACAAATTCTTACATAAAGTCTTGTACCTTCAAGTGTTTCATTAACATAAATATATTAATAAGACCCTTCCCAGAAGAGAATGCAGTGTCAGAGAAATGCCAATCAAATGGCTGGGTTGTGAGAGGTAGAGCTTCAAATACGTTATTAAACCTTCATCCTCTACCAACAATTTCAAGGCCATTCAGGAAACGGTGGAGCTTTATGAGCAGAAAGAAGAGTAACTGCTCATAAAATTATTTTGTCCACTACGATTGCAGTGTTAATTAAATTGTATAATCTGTGATGTGCAGCAACTGATTTCTACATTTTTGGGTGAAATTCAGTTGCTTAGGTTTTACTTTGGTTTTTATCATGTGTTTTTACAATTAGTAAGCTAGACTGCTGTATCATGTTCGTTATCACTACCAGGAAACAAGCATGTGTATGTTGCTACATATCCGGCATAGGTAAATCATGTCAGCCTTTGTATGTGCAGTACTGTATTTGCTAACTCTGAAGCCAGGGAACTGCCAGGTAGTAGCTGTATCTGCTGAGAGTTCTGTAAAGTCTGCTGTGTCAGCTGGTATCAGGTCTATGGAGATAGGATCTCGCCCACTCCTCTTTGTCCCTACTTATTATCCCATAAAATCTACTAGAAATTTTATGGCATCTTTCCTGCTAAGCAGAGGCTGGAATATTGAAGACTGTGAGGTACTTGGCAAGAGTCAAACATGGAAATATGAACAACATTTCCTGGGAAACATAGCACCCAAACTGCTGACAGATTTAACTCCTGATTCTTGGTAGAGATTTCTTTTCCAAATTGGGCTAACCAATTCTCTGGATCAGGCTCAACACATATGTGACTAAAGTAGAGGTTCTATAACAGAGCAAAAATAAGTGAACATCTTTTGGATTAAATACACTTGACTGACCTACATCTTGAGCCACTGGTCACTCTTATTTGCACAGCTCAGGAGCTGCTCTAGGAAAGCTACAACGAATGTATCTAAAACTAAGATTAACAAAGTCTCCAACTAACCTGATTTATGATATTTTTCCATAATTATTAGATACTTGGCATGCTTATGAGCATAGAAATGCACAAATGGAACAGGAGATCTCCTGCATTATGAAAAAATATTTAGAGAGTTGGTGCAAGCACAAGTTTTCAATATGGTTTCAAAGGATGATACTGCCTAGATTCTTCCAAATAAAAAAGCAGCAACAGCTTCAAAAAAAGGCTCTATAAAATAAAAATAATTAAAAAATGACAATGTTTTTTCTGTATATATAGAACCCAAATTTTGAAGAAAGGTGAGGGCAGAGGCTCAAACAGGAACTAAGAAAACCTAGTTTATTCTATTGAACATGACTCCCATGAAAATACATTTGCATAGACAAATGCCAAACACATAAAAATTCACATCTGTCAATTCACTTGGGCTCTGAAAGTACAAACAGGGTACACAGCAGGTTTTGTTCCTACTTCATACTATTCAAAGTTCTTGTAATTCTATTAAAATACCCAAATACTTTGAGAATTATTTAATTACCATATTTTATTTTGATAAAAAGTTCTTTTCAAGTCAGAAGGCATTTTGGGAAGTAGCTCTCACTGTATTTCAAGCAACGATAACATTGTTTTGTATTAGCAGGACATGAACTTTATGAAGCAAGCAAGGGACTGAGTCAGGTCTCACTGTGGACATGAGCTAGAGAACTCAAGAGATAATGTTCTATGCCATAAAACAGATGAAAGCCAACACTAATCTATGTTATGTTATCTGTCACTTACATACGGGGACATAATTGTTTATGTTCCCAAACCTTGAAGTTATACTAAAAAGGTGAAGGTTGAATTCCTCTTTGTGTAGTATTTGGCTTATTTTATGTTTTTTGCAACAGAAAAACATGAAACACTTTGAAATCACACACAGTAGTGCAATAAAAGTCCAGTTTGATGCTTAATATAGTTTGGAAGGATTAATACACTCTGATTTCACATTTCTAGCTTTCTGGTATGCTGAGGCTTTAAGGGACCAGCAACTCTGAACTTCCAACTTCTTTTTTTCTCATTTCTTTTGTTTTCATCTTTAAGAGTGGAAGAAAAATGCCCAATATAACATGGGTACCAATATCACATGCAATAAGGGAGCATTGCAAATGCTGTCACTATGAAACAATGCCATGCAGAATAGCCTCAATGTAGCAGTTGCTTCCAAATCAGTAAGTGGTAGTAGAAGAAAGACATCCAAAAACATTCTTTTAAAACAAACGCTCAAAAAAGCAAGATTGAAATCTACAATTTTTGAAAATGTGAGAATGCTGCATAGCTCAGCATCTGCTGACTTTTTCCCAACTTGTAGTCTAAATCCAGTATTTAGGTTTTCCTCACTTGTATTATGGAAAGATTTCATCCCAAGGTTTTCCCTTTAATTACAGAAACTAAGGTTTGAATCCAAAGCAGCTTATTAGCTAGAATAGAGAATGAGGAACTCATACTCAGATTCCTCCTTCTCCCATCAGATAACTGAAGCATGCTGTGCACTCTGATTATTATGAGTGGGCAGGTATCATCTAGTAATCAAAAGGAAAAATAATGTGAAATGGAGTACAAAATGGTCTTACTAAAACCAAAAAGGTTGATGTGCCAGTATGATCAACCTCACATGATGCACAGTTTAGTGATGAAATATTTCCAAAAAGTGTTGTGTACACGTAGCTCTATACCTACTAAATAATGAAGCCATATGACATTGACACAGAGAGGAAAATACAAAGGGTGATTAATATTTGAGTGAGATGCTATTCCAAGGTCTCCGCCAAATACATAATTCTAATTAATGCATACTATTGCATAGCAGCTCAATAAAGCTGCATGATATTTCAATGAAAGACAACCATTATCTTAATGCACAATAAAATGCCTTGAGATGCAAACATTGAGAATTATCAGGGTCACAAAGAAGCCTAAATACACACTGCTCTTATAATGCAAATTCTATGTACCCAAGCTGCATCAATTCAAGAAAAAGTCCAGCTCATAAAAATTTCCTTAACATGTTGCATAAAGTATCAGAAGGATTGAAAAGAGGATTAGCAAAGGAGAAGGTACCATTCAATGAGTATTGGAAAGATGCATATCAAAAATTTATCAGGCGAAGTAAGTCTGAAAAATGCTGATAACAGATGGGAGCTGTCTCAGCAAAAACCAATGTTGCTAGTTTGACTGTTTCTATAGCTGAGGATAAAAGTATCCTTGGGGGGAAAAAAAAAAAGTCTGATTTTTTTTACCTCTTCCTTCTCTGCACTTTGCAAGTCCCTCCACTCCTCAGTGACATGACCGAAGTCCACTGTGTTCATTGCAACCTTATATTCCCCAATGATATCATGCTTGGAGAAACGATCAAAGTCATAAACTGCCATCACTAAAGTCTTTCCACCCAGCTCAGAGTATGGCACCTGCAAAGAAGAAAAAATTTCAAACTCCATACCTGTGACAGTAAAGATCAGTACAGTACAATGCAAATCTATTTCTTTGGTTTATCAGCTGTCATCTCAGGTAAATTGAACTGCAGAGAAAATTATGAGGTATATTTGTTTTTGAGTCACCAGGAGCAGTATTTTTTTGAGGCCAGGCTCTGACATTCAATACAACTCTGTGGCAGCTCACTCATCTCTCCCTGGGTTTTTCTCATTCTACTTCAAATTATTTTGTAGGTGATGAAACCGAAACAGGAAGCTCAATTATTTGCACTGAAGACATATGAACTTTTCACACAATGGTGTCTTTTCCTCAATAAATCAACTATCATCACACAGAAGTGGGTAGCTCCCAGGCTGATAAAAAAACCAGAACTGGCTTACTGTATCTGACACAAAGTAACTAGACAGTAAATAGTTCTATTACAGAACCACTACCTATTACCTATTTTTCATATTGTAACTTTCACACTGTAGACTTGAAGTTTTTCTAAATCACAGCGTGCAGCTAGAAACTGTAGTGGCAGAGGGCCAAGTTCTGACTAATTCTCCAGCTGTTCTGATGTGTTTCAGACAGATGCTGTGGGTTAGGATGCTTATGAGTCACATTTTTAATATTCAGATGAAGACGTGCAGTTCAGGTAATCTACGCTTGAGTGGCGGTCTGGAGAGGTCTGATTTAGGAATTGTTTGGATTTACACTGAACACTTGGTCAATTTGAATATATTCTGCAAGTATAAATGGTTTCCATGGGCTTCAGCAAACATTTCTCTATTAATTGTCTATATAAAGAGAAATGAAAGCGTGGCATTATCATTGGCCTTGTTAACTGCTGTAAGTTCTGGTCTGTTTAATCTCTAGGGCTGCTGTCTTTTGTTACTGTTTGGCTTCCACTTGCTTTAAAAAATACTTACTAATAACACAAGCAGTTTTTCTTTTTTATACTGTGTTACATAAGGTTTTAAAGAAGCTTTTCAAGTTGAGAGCCAGCTTTGGCTTCCATTACTGAGTACAATAGTTTCACTGGGTACAGGGTTGTGTATTATTGTAGCTTCTAAAAAGCTATAGAAGGCAAATATATGTGGAAGACAAAGTTCCAAATAATTTTGCTCCAAAGAAGAAATATTCTGGAGTTTCTTCCTCCTTCAATTTAGAATACCAGTTAATGGATTCTGGTAATTTCAAATGCATGAAAAGACTACATTTACCATTATTTACTTCTTTTATCATTTGACCTCAGTAAAGCTTATTTTAGATACTTTCCTATTTAAAGAAGAGGTAGTGGCAGTGCTTATTCCATTCATTACCTCTAAAGCAGCCTTAGCCTACAGGCTTTTCAGGACAACCAAGGATGTCAGCTCTTGTGAAGGATTGCTCCCTCTCCCTGCTTTCTCTTCTGCTGAGAGGTACTGAGCCTTTTGACCCAATGCAGGGGAGACCTTGGTAGAAGGACATGTACAGGAATGTTTTTCTGGCACAGATTTGTCAGTACTCCAGAAATGAACCCTCTTCCCGCTTCAGGTATCCCACTGGGGAGGAACACCTCTGCCAAATCGGCGTAGTCCAGCTAGGACTTCTCCATTTCCTTTTGGCAGCACAGCGTGAATATACAATTGGGACAGACAGAGCTTGATGAACACCTGCACCCTGGAACAGCACCATGGATGTGCAGGAAACAGCGATAAAAAGGGGACTAACATAAGGAGCAACCCAAAGAAGAGAAGGAATGAGGTCAAGGGCTCAAGGTGCAATAGGGCAGAAACATATCTCATCCCCATTAGGCCTTCTCTGGGAGGAAGGCAGGCAGCTCACAGCTGCTCCCTGGGAGAAGGTAACGAAATGGGCCTGGGCTGCTTGGTGGGCAGCTCTGCCAAAGAGTGGTAAGAGAAGCATACCAACAGAAGCTGTGTACCACCTGAAGTGGGTCACAGGAGGAAAGCTCTGCCCAAGTAAACAAGGTATTGTCAATAGTTTCCACTAAAGTTAAATGACTAAACGTTCTGTCAGGTCTTGCATGGAAAGAAAACTTTCATCTGGAGCATAAAATCTGAGTATTAAAGATATGACTTAGAAAGAGCGGACATTATAGTCCAGGAGTGGATGATCTGATTTGTAATTTGTGCCCTCATGTCAGATGACAGCATTATTGGTTCTTTCTTTTGTGAGCTGCACAAGAATCTGTAAGTTATAACTCTTTTCTTTTAAATACTCTCTTAGGAAAGCTCAAGAAAAAAAATAACTCCCCACAAAAGATTATTTTTATGAACATCTTCAAGGGAAAAAATAAACTTATATATGCAGTAGTAGTTCTGGCCTCCAGGGATTTCTTTCTCATTGAATGATTACATAGCCTGAGTCTTTTACTGTTCCTGTTTTCAGTCTGTAGCTGTCATTATAAGATTGGGCATAGAGAGAAAAGCCTGAAGTAACAGCAGAGGAATGTATATTAGGAGAAGCCCTATGAAACATGCTGTATAGTATTCCTTTATTGTATTTAACTGGGGTTTGGATACAGCTACAGTTTTATAAAAACACTGCTGATAGATTCTATTGGAACTACTTAAAATATTGCAACGTAAGACTTAGCTACATTTATTTAATTCATATATTATTAAACCTGAGACATTATTTCTTTTCATATGTAAAGTAGCATGGCACAGAATTGCTATGACAAAGTCTAGCAAGATTAATCTGCCATACTGTCCTTCATCCATTTACCTTCCTTGAGATTTAATTTATTTTTGAGGGGAAAAGAAATGGTATACTGAAATTCATAAATCAGACTACAAAGATATTTAAAGAAAATGCTGGTCTAGTGAAACTTACCTGACATTTGTCAAAGTGTCACTGTTCTTTAACTTTCTTGTAAGTCTTATCCAACCATAAAACATGGGTCATGTTGTGATACATCAGGATAACTGAACTGCCCAAAATCCAATGGAGCTTTTTACACCTACTGAGGGCTGACCCAATGTTATACCATTTTCCTCATAAGATGAAATATTGCAGGTTTCTACAACATGAAAAATCAGTATGCTGCAGCTATCCATTAACTAAGACATCTAGCTTTATAGCCAAGCATGAGAAACACAGTGGTTAAAAAAAATAAATCAATAATTATAAAAAAATACCTTGAATGTAAATTGCTCATTGAAAACAGGGTTAAGGGTCTTTCTGTGGACTTTTGTCTCGTATTTCTTCTTCTTATCAGGAAGCAGGAAAACTTTCACGTAGGGATCAGATGTACCACCCATATCTAACGCAGGCAGTTCAGCTGCTTGAATAATCCCAACCAGAAGCTGAAAAGAGAGAAAAAAAGCAGAATTAAATTTCATATAGATATTTATTTAAAAAACCAAAACTGTACTAGAGAGATACACAGGCAGACTCTATTTCTGGTCTGTGAAAAATTACCCCCCCTTCCCCCTTCAAGGAAGGCAAATGAAGCCATACTATAGATTTTAGAAAACCAATTACAGCAGATGCAGACTGTACAAAGGCTGTTTTTAAGCAGAAAAGAGGGTTTTCAAAGGGCAGCTGATTACAGCTAAATACAGACTTCATCTTTTTAAAGACTGCAATCAAATAACTTTCAATTGCTCTCTACTTGTGTGCATTATTTTTCTGTGCTGGGCACCATGAATAGAAATCACATTATTAAACAATCAAGAATGTCTAATTTTGACTACAAAATTTGTATTCTAAATCCCCAACATGTAACCTTCTCCCCAACCGAACACAAAAAGATGACATATAAGCAAGTCCTCAGGCAGAGCTTAACTGAAAACAAATGGATCTTGCAGTCTTCCTTACATTTAACTTCTCTTCCTCTGTATACAAATTGGTTTATGCAGTAAGCTAAGGGAAATGTTTTAGAAAATTACCCCATGAAAACTAATCTTTGGCAACTAAATCCTAATAGTAATTCATAATACTAGTGCAAAACCAGAAAAAAAAAATAATTCTTATATTTCTTAGACACAAACAAGACTGCAGTGCATTCAAGACCTGTAAATGCCTTGGCCATTTTTGAAGTGTTATAAATGAAGACATGTTATGGTATGCTATGGTGTTATGTTATGCTATGTTATGTTATCTAGACGTTCCAGCCTGTATTAGGCCTATTTCAGAAAATGGAGTTGAGAGAAAGAAAATACTTCTAATCTTGGTTCACAGACACAAAAACAATAAGGTAAAGATTCAAGTGACTCTTCAAGGTCAATCTGGAGACAAGATATTAAGAAGTGGGAATGAAATCTGAAAATATTTTCTTCTAAATCAGTGCTTCAGTCACAATATATTTGCTTCTCTCATGGATGAATTGTTTAAAATTGGAAGCTGAAGCTCTAACAACTGGAATGCAGAACAATATAGTCAATCTAGGAAAGAAGCTTCTGGCTTCTGAGAGATTCCTCAAAGTTAGATTTGTTTTTACCAGTTTTAAATTCACAGCATGGCCTGTGTGCTTTCCTACCTATAGGATTCTTAAGGTCCATGAAACATTGTATTTTAGCTGTAAGAAACACTTACCCTTTTCTGTCTCATTCTTATTCTAGTTGCACAACAGTTCGTAAATACATGGATAGGCTCAGGATACACATCAAGTCTTGCACACAAAAGAGTGAAAAACAACTCTATGACTCTCAGTTAACAGAGTCGAAAACCATTTAAATTCCCCTTTAAAATTTCTCCCTCTAAAACTGAGGCATCACGCTCTGGAGACATTAGTCATCTTTTCTTCATTCTCCACCCAGTGCAATATATTAGCCAGATTTTTGGTCTGCAGTTTCATGCCATAGTGCTATACTAACCTGACTGAAAGCCCTCTTCTACTCTTTATATCATCTATTCTCTGATAAATTCCAATCTACAACATAGTTTAGAGTAGCAAAACAAAATAGAAAACCATAGCTCAAATAATTTATTACCTTAATTAAATACTACATTTTTAAAGATTTGTTGTTCATGCATCCTACTTCCCATTGTAAAATATAGTTCAGAAAAACATTTTCTTCAATGAAATTCACACAGAAAGTTTGTTTTCATATTCTAAGGAAACTGAAATCCATTTGTGAGAACACATTTGCAGCTTTCCCCTTCCCCCTCTTCAGATCTTCTGCTTCTTAAGGGTCTAATGCTTCACACTGATTTCATACTGATTTGAAAGGGGATCAGTGTGACTCATCACATGGCCAAGGAATTTCCTTTGGGAGTGGAGGAAAAACTCCTTTAACCACAGGTACTTGAAAGGCTTCAGAATTCTTTTTGGCTCTTGCATTGAAAAATAAGCACTGGTAGTCAGAAAATAAGTGAAAAGCTAGGGAAATACGATGTATTATGCCAGGTACTAGCCGTCTGTAAATACCTTGCTGAGGACACAGGAACTTTTATTCATTTATCTTATTTTCTTTGTCCTGCAACAAGTTATTATAACGCATTCCATTAACAGCATCAAATAAAGAATCTGAGCGCTGAAATAAATCATGGGTACATGTGGAAGTGAGTTCAGAGGAAGAATATGAATTAACAAGGATTTAAGTTCAATAGTAATTTCTTTCCCAAAATAGAGCAGAGTGATGCGGTTTTGACTGAAGCTGTCAAAATGAAATGCAGGATATGTATTCTCAAATTGACTGAAAGGCACACAGTAGAAGTGAAGTCAGATGTGTTGGTCTACTTCAGTTCAAAGTAAAGCACAGTGACTTTTAATGTGAGGGGCTGTGAATTGGTATAACTGACAAAAGTGATCCCAACCACAGCAAGAGGCCAGGGAGGAAAATTAAATATGAGCTGTGTCTATTCCTACTGAAAACTTGGCTAATATGCCAAAGTCTGGTCTTAACAGCTCTAGAGTAGGGTACTGAAGGAGTATCAGTCCTTGACTGTTGAGTCTTCTTGTCCAACTTTCCTGTTTTTTAGGGGACAGACCTTTTTATTTGCACTTTTGTTCAAAACTATAATTTTCTTGGCTAGTAGGTACACTTTCATGGATGGCAACAGAACCTGACACAGAGAGTTAATAAGGCAAAGTGCATGTTTGATGAAGTAGGAGAAAGCTACTCCTGGCTATCTTATCAACTTGCTAAAGACTCACAATAAATCAATTTACTTTTATGTCCCTCTCTTCGTCCTTCCATCTTTTGTTTGCTGACGTTTTAAACACCTGAAGGCTGAAGCTGTCTTTTACTATCTACATGCAGACTCCATAATATAATGTGGGTTGACATCGATTGGTGATGCCTTCATTAAAGTTATTAATAACCATCAGATAAATCTGGGTCTTCAATTTTGATTAAGCATGTAATAAAAACTCTGAGTACATTGAATACCAATTTAGGAGTACCTCTGTCATGAGTCTTCAGTCTTGCTTTCTCTCCTTACTCTGTACAAGCAGTAAGGATTTCAAAAATATCTGCTGTAACTGAAGGTTTACTTCATTCTCCCCTTGCATGCACAGAAAGAAAATTTTACAAGTTGGTTATTTCAAACCTGATTGTTCTGGAAGTCATAATCCAAAGAATATTGGATTTTCCCTAGTTTCTCCACTTCTTTGGCTTCTTCTTTATCTTCCCCATCAGTCAGCCCAGTCTCAGCATCATCATCCTTAAGAGCCTAGAAAGAATGAATGTAATATTCGTAAATAAGGCAAACTATTAAGTACCAGTTTAAAGCAGACACTGTCCTCAAATCTATTTTAAAGCCATTAAAAGCAAGCATGACAGTAGGAATCCAAATATGCAGTTTATAAATGTATTTATACTATTTAGGTTGCTCAAGGAGATGTTATAAATCAGCAAGCAAGCAATGAAGTAGGAAGAAAGCTTCTTGGACTATTACAAGCAACGATTGTTATAAAACCTGGAAGTAGAAACAAAAAATCAAGTCGATATAAAAAAAAATTATTCTGGGCTCCTACTGGCTCTTAAAGAGGCACAAGGAGGCAAACATGCTATTTCGTAAGCAAAGTCACACATTCATTCAACTTAGGAATACCTTGGCAATGTCAAACCTGATTGTGCATGCTGTGAATTGTTTGCAACTAGCAACAAGTTTCTGTAGGATTACTATGATAAAAAGCATGTGCTGTGGATGAGTTCTTCCTACAATCATATGCCAAACATTTTCCATGTTTATTTTGAATGAATATGGAAGCAAAGTTTTCAACATGCCATTAGCAAATGCATGTTTCTCCTTTTCCCTCCCTCCCGAAATCAATTTCCTTTTTATTCATTCTTGCTTTAAAGCTTGGCTGAACCAAATTGATTGAAAGCTGATTTTAGTTTGCTTAGAAAGAAACACAAAGAAATACAGAAATACTTACACCTTTGTCTATTGCATAAAACCTGATATTCTTAAAGGACACAGCAGTTATCATAGATTTTATACATAACTAAAATAATATATGATGTAGTACTTTTTTTTCTGTACCAGAAAGCAGAAGTATTTGCACTGTGGAAAAGGGAATTCATACAATTGTTGAACCGCATGAACCATAACTAACTATGCAGATCTTATTCCAGCAGATCCTTACCCAAGAACTGAAAAATGAGTAAAGGCAATAAGACAATTAGCAAAAAAATATGGAAAATGAAAATAAAGTTGAGAGTCTGTAAACAGGGAATGAATACTGAGCATTTATCAAGAATTATCCTTTGCATGTAATAGTAAAGCGTATGCTTATCTATTACAATCCTATTCTCTCTGGAGGGGAGTTCCTTCTATATGGAGCTACTGCTTGCACAAACGCTGTTAAGGGCAAGAATAAGATTTGTTACATTCTTTCTTTTTTTACAATGTGAGGTGGTCTGAAGAAACCTACAGCACTTATAAACAACAGATTGCAGCTGGAGCTTTCTATCTGAAGAGACAGCAAGGCTGGAAAGTAGCTATATCTATGATGGTTGATGAAAGAAAGAATGCGAGAGCATTAACATTCTCACTCAGCCATGAGCGCAGTGGGGGCCACACAACGGTTGTGTGGGTGTGGTAAGAAGAAAGATTGATCTCTGAAGTAGAAAATGGTATTTTTCAGAAGTCAGATCTAAATTCAAAAGGTCAGAATCAAAACTGCACAGTATTAAGCAATTATTTCTCTACTTTTTGAAATAAACTAGAAATTCTGCTGGCATAGCTCAAATGAAATCAATGCAACAACATTGATTTATGCAAGCTGAGGAGCTGGGTTTGAATTAAATATCTGAATTTCAGTGAATATGGACTCTTTACTAGGAACATAAATTACAGTGTACCTAGATAAGATCGGTAGTGGATGAGAATCACCTGTGATGTTGGAAGACTAAAGCTTTCTGAACTAAACCATTTCTATTTGGAACGGCTGAACTGCCTGAAATGAAAATTACCTGGACTCATTTTAATTGCTGAGCTGCTAGTGAGTGTCCTGGCTATGGCACAACATTTTTGTCAGAACAAGTGTGACACTTCAAAACTGACAGGCTATATGGCAAGACGATACTGCTAGTGCAAAGACAGCTTGAAGCACAGCCCCTGCAGAACCATAAATGGGACTTTCAGGATATGAGGTGATGGGATTATGCCAAACACCTTGCATTCATTGATTAAAAAAACCCTTAAGGTTTTGTGACCATGAAAACAAAAAACTAGTGCAAAGACAGCTTGAAGCACAGCCCCTGCAGAACCATAAATGGGACTTTCAGGATATGAGGTGATGGGATTATGCCAAACACCTTGCATTCATTGATTAAAAAAACCCTTAAGGTTTTGTGACCATGAAAACAAAAAAAACAAAACAAAACAAACCAACAAAAAAAAAAAGAGATGTGACTCACTCCAATGGAAGCAACTGCATTTATCTGAACCCTGAGACAACAGGAAGCAATAACTCAGAGTGGAATGTTAACTGCAAGGCCCACTGTTCTGAATCATCCCAGCGTTGCCCTAATAGAGGACTCCATGACAGAAGAGTGATAAACAGCTCTAGTATATTACTGTTTCTGGGATAAGTACTGGACTTTCTGCTGTTCCATCTAGTTTTGACCTGGATTTTGTTTGAGAGGAAATATCCTACAGCTATTCCATAAGGAAAAAAAGAGAGAGAAGGCAAAAAGAACCTTAAATGCTGATTTCCACATGTGAGGGATTTGTAACTATTGTGTCAAGACAAGAGTTACACGCTCTTTCTAGGAAAACTATATACTCTACTGTGTAGCCGATCAATCTGGGAAGTGACAGAACTGTGGGTAATTCAAAGTGAAAATGTTCTTATTGTGACTATGGAAGATACAATTGTTCAGCTAACATCCCTCTTCCAAGAGTTTTGACGTGCAGCAGAAAACAATGTATGGTTGGGAAAGTCTTTTCCACAAGTTATGAGAGGTCTATCAGAAGGTGAAAACTATTTCCCAGGGGAGATGGAAAACACTGCACGTTACTCACATCAGCTGATGAACTATATGATTTTTTTGACCTTGGCTCAGAAACACTGAAGCACTAAGAAAGACTACGAATGAGATAGTGTTTGGATTTGGCCAAGGTCGTGGCATAGGGAGGTGCAAGAAATGAAAAATTATTATCTCTACAGCAATCTGTACATAATAGGTTTTACTATCAAGAAAGGGAATTTACTTTCAAACTAGAGGCCAATGCTTCACGACGAAGCTGAGTCAAAGGAAGCATAGAAGTTTCTCATGTTTGATCCAGCTGCTGAGTTCCAAAGAGGAAGAAGAATTGGATTACTTCAAAGTACTTTAAACACCCTGTAGGGATTTTCATTTTATATTGAGATTCTCTGAAACATCAATATTTAATGGAATGGTACTGCAATGCTCAATTCATAGCACAGTATATCACATTATACTGGATCTTACTGTTGTACTGCTACAATCAATTAAAATAAGCAGCTATATTTTATTTGATTTAGAAACAATAAAATATTTTTAATTATAAGCCACCTTTTTCCTCAAGCCTCCTCATCTGACACAATTGTGATCAGAAACCCTGGATTTAGCTGCAGAGGAATGCCTTTCCTTTCCTAAGATTTCTTTTAGCTCCATGACATTTTAAATGCTTTTTCTGTGATATATGCAATATAGAAATGCATTATTACATTGTGCTGGAGACCAGATTAATCTTTTCTAATTTGGGATGACTGTGAATTTCACTCAAGTGGTTTCTTCCTTTCTGAGGAGCATATGCAGGAACACACAACAATGAAACCTCTATATCCTATCTATCCTCTTACATGTGTATAAGTATCTGAAAAACATAGACTTCTAGGTAAGCAGGTGTAGGAATGTACAAAGAATTTGTTAATCCAGTATAACCATTAGGAGGTGATACATCCACACCTAATGAAATCAGCAAGTGGGAAAGGTTACTTTGTGCCAGGGACTTACTAAAGTCACACAATATGAAACATAGGTTTTCTTAGACCTGGAAGACAAAGTCAATTTTTGAGCAACCTCTCATTTAAGCCATATTTGAACAAGCCCTGTAACTACTCCTAACCAAGGATGCAGACCTAAATCTATATATGGCATTAGGGTTTTTTCCTTTTGGTTCCGTGTTTAGTTTATTGTTTTCAAGCTCATCTACTGTGTAGTGATTCCTACAACAAACAGAAATGTGGGATCCACAATTCAATTTGATGATTGCAAATGTACTTCCTTGCCTCCTATACAACGAGGCAGAGGCTACAATAATTTCTGAGTCACCTGTAAGATGCAAAGAGCCACGAAGGTGTATTTTGCACTTTGAGTTTGGTCTCAGTTATCTTCATGTCTCATTCTGTATGAGCTAATGTCTAGCTCATATCACAAGCTGTTTAAGACTACAAGAAAAGTATCTGTTGTATATATTACGAAACACTTTCATTAACAGAGTTTTGAGTGTTCCTTTCATTCATGGGGTGGCCTCTGGATTCACTTTTAAGAAAACAAGTTACCATTAAGCAAGAAAGAGGGACATTAGGAAGGAAAACATAACACTGACTGCAGCCTGTAAGTTTATTTGCTGCTCAAAGCTTGCTGCTGTCCTCAGTTCCATTTCTGCCTGCTCCATCAATCATTCCTTTTTGTTCACACGGTGAAAGGGAGATTCTTAATGTGTGAATGATGCCCAGTCCTCAGGCTTGTGCAATGCCTGCTGAGCTGAATGGAAGAAACAATATTATTTCATAGTGAGAATGTTCTGTGCCATGTCCAACAATGAATTTATCCGAAAGGCAATTTTTCCTCCACACCTAGGAATGGCTGCATTTCCACTAATGGTGGTGCACCGCTTATCAACTTTTTTCACATTCAAGAGCACCATCACCCTAACCTGCCCAATTTTTATCCCAGGGAAAAAGAAAAGCCTTTAAAAATTCCTGGCTGATTCCCTATGACAAAGCAGGAAAGCCAGCAATCGTATCACATTCTCTATCAGAGTCCCTCTGAAGGAAAGGCAACATTTCATTCTTTCAGCATCTGCTTTCTCTCCATGAATTAATTTAAAGAGAATGTTGTCCATGGGCTTCCAGTGGCTGAGCCAGGTTTTTGGTCATTGTGAAATCTACTTTGCCATTACTGCTACAAGAGTGTTAGTCTCACACACCAGCAGTGGGCCACACCAACACACAGAATGAGCAAGACCCT